CCCCAAAACCCCAAAACCCCAAAACCCCAAAACCCCAGTCAAGGAAATGGCTATTTAATGTGTCATAAAATATTAAACTAGATAAATATGACGATATTGGCTTATATTAACTTTTCAGTATTACCACTAATTCATTGCTGCTATAATATATATGAGATTACTGCTTCTAAGGAATTAAGAGCCTTATCAAAAGAATTTCCATTTTTGAGCTCGACATTGAATAATTTAATAAATCTATAGAATGGATAATGGAAGACTAAATCCTTACTGATAGTTAGAGTAAAGTTTAAAAGCTGAAATGCTTTTATAAACAACGTAGGTGAGCATATTGATCTCTTCATCAAATGTCATTTCTTTGTTGTCTTTGATATTAGCCATATGATAAACTTAAGAGCAAATTTAAACTGTTCGTAATACAACTTAGAGTTTCTCCATAGGTGTTTCTTCTTTTGAGAATTTATCAAATGCACTGATTGCGTCAATCCATAATGATTCATCTTAAAGCTCTTCTGGGAAATCTAGAGTTTGGAAAGTATAATGATTCTTCTAGAGGTTTCTCTGGATTTCAATATCGACTTAAGAAGGCTCAATTAGCACAAAGATACTATAATAGTTATTTTTGAGAAAGAACTTACTGACGATGAAGCTATCTCATAATATACTCATTAATTTCATTCTAAGCATGAGTAATATTTTTACTAAGATGCTGGTCATTTTCCAGAAGATTTTTAACAACTTGCAAGAATTGGTTATAAGTTGTTCTCAGGTTCATACTATCAATTTCTCTTGCAGCCTACCCGAGTGCTCTAATACTAATTAGCTATCTAAACTGAGTTCTAAATTTGTTTTACAATGCGATGATAAAGCTATAGTTGGATTACTGATTAAAATAGCTTACAAATCTATTCTTTTCAATTGATAATGTTTTACTTTGCTATTATTAGAATTTTAATAAGGGTCGACAATCATCGAAGACATTTAATCCTATCTTCTACCCTGAGGTTGTTGTTAAGATGGTTGGCCTGTTGCAGTACCCCTTGTAGTTTAAGGTCCATTATTATTTGCTGCCTGCTGATTTGGAACTCTTCCAGCTTATCTGTTGTTTCCTGGATTATTAGTTTAAACAATGCCAAACAATAGTTATCCAGTAAGCAATGGATTCGCTTGATGTTTGTCACATTTATCTTGCCTAACTAAATTGAAACCTCCATTTGAAGGATCAAAGTTAAGGCACACGAAAGGCTTAACTGTAGAGATGAAGTAAGATAGGTAGAGTGAGTGCTGCACTTTCCAAATGTAATCATTTTCTGTTCTTATCAGACTTAAGAATGATTCAATGTCCTCCTAAATACAGAAAAACATCAATTAGAGAGATTCAAGTCCTATTTGCTCAAATTAAGGGATAATGTCATTAGACTCTGATTACCTTATAACTGAGTCCCTACCTTTGCTAATATCTTACTCTACATTTTGCACTCTGATTGAAGTCTTTTTTATGAGATGCTTTATAACTTTACATTGCATTCTGGTGTTGCCAATGAATCCAATTTGCTAAAGATTTTTGTAAAGTATCATGCATTAAAGCCTCATTTTATCTTTATCACTTCCATCTCTTCCTTAACTTAGACATTCATCACCTCTTATCAAAAAGAAGAGAATGACACTTAGATCATTTGGGAAATCATGCTTTTTGTTTCTTATAATTTGATGAATACTAGGAAACTAGACTTCATCCTGAGAAATCAATTCTTGAATATTTCTAAGCATCTACCTAAACTTCATTCTATCCTATATCTGATGTTTTCCAATAAATTCATCAGTCTCTTTTTCGAGTAGTTGTTTGAGATACTTTTACTGCTACATACTATTATTTTCCTTAGCTTTAGCAAAGAACAAGAACTTAATCTAACTTTCCAAGTCGAAGAAATTTTTTTGCTCATGATTAGGATCCTCTGTTCTTCCAAAATGATCATCGTCGACCTCAAATGCTGCATTAGCTTTAATAAGACCGAAGTTATCATCCAATATACTCTCCAAACTACATCTTGAATCAAGCCTTGCAAGATTATCCTCTATATTTTAATCTAGATTTTTTAAATTATCCATGTTAGAGTTGAGCAGAGCAAGTAGCTTTTTAACATCATCTAATCTAATGACAAGACTCTCTAGAAGTCCACTATCTTTCTTGTCACATTGATATATACTAATATCGATGTTCAAAAGATACTCATAAAAAGTCATAATATTCTCCCTAAACTATTTATAGAAATGAAAATACTTTTAATGGTGGATATATTCATTGATTCTAGCCATATCATAAAAGTACTGATAATTTGGTAGGCTTTCAAGAGATTACATTTTGAATGTTTGTTATAATACCTATTGTAAATGTTAAGGGATAAATATTTACTTTTTAGGCTGTTTAGAAGAAAATGTATTTGTGCTTATCTAAGAAGTTAAGAGGCTTAGGTAATATTCCATAGAACTCAGGAATGGAAAAGCTTTGACTAAGCCATTTATCAATCAGAAGATCATTCAAGATTCTGTAAAGATCTGCTTTTGAGATATCAGGTTTGTTTCTTTATATTGAATCAGCTAAAATTTTGATGTAAGCTCTAAGAGGATTAGGTATCTAGCAAACAGACAAGTACAATATTTCGGTAACTTTCATTAATATATGTATCATGTATCCAGTTAGATCGTATTATTTAATGACAAACTTAGCTCTGATCTCCTGGCTAACATCCATTCTAGATATTCTCTGATTAATCAAGCTATCAAAATTGCCCCTCACATCACTCATTGCTGCCTGACTCATTAGATCATTATCATCTTCGTTCATCTTGTAGTCATTATTTTCATTGATTTTATCAATATTCATTGAGAAGTCTAGATGATCTTACTGCTGAGTAGAGGAATAAAACTACTGAGATGTAGTTGCATCAGTATTTGGAGATAGATTAAACTGATTAGATCCTTGATCCATATTGCTGGTAACAGCGATTGATTGGTCATTAGTTAGATTAATTCTGCCCAGCTCATTCTCCCTTGCTTGGTTTCTTTAATTTTGATTATCTACGGATGATTATCTTTCTTGCTTTTGATTCTAACTTTCAGCTTCATCCAGAAGACAATTTTGAAGGTTATGTCTTGGATCATAAGTTTCTCTGTACTTATTATTCTACTAGGCTTGGAGCTTAGCTTAGAGAGCCTTTTTGTCTTTATCCTTGCTGCCACCACCAAATAACTTTTTGAGCATTCCTGGTTTCTTTTACTTAGCTTATAAATCTTTCTTCCCCTCGTCTTTGTTTTTTTATGGTTGCAAATTTTCTAATAAATTTTTCTAATCGTTTGGATTTACTAAACTCATTGAAAGTTTAAAGTTTTTTTACTACTATTGCTAAGTAAGCTTTTACTCTTCTTTTTGTGGTTACTACTACTGCTTAATTTATGCTTAATTCAGAGCTTTCCATTGAGCTTCTTTTTCATTAATGAATCCAATCAATTGAATTAGATTTATCTTTGAGAATATGTTCCTGAAAATGAACCTTAAATAACTCTAGGCTTCAATGATTTTAGTTAATCCTGAAAATATTTAAGATGCTACATGATTGTTAAGGTCATCTTTGCTTGCTATTTTATACTTAGATTGCAAATCTTTGTTCATTAAACGGTTAAATGCCCTCAAAATGTTGAAGTATTAAAGATTGGTATCTTCGCACTTAGAAGTGTCTTAAAAAGGATTATCAAAGAACATTAAGGTCAAATTTTCCACGAATTTACTCTCTCTGTAATAACTTTTCACTTCTGAATCCATTATTGCTTAAAATACTCCTTCAGCCAAAGCAGGATTTTCTCTGATGGAAAATACTATTTCATTTACGAAGAAAAATCCATTATTAAAGACTCCTTTGCCCTCTTCAAGTACAGGTTTTGGTCCTGCTCCTGGAAATATTGGATTATTAGGATTAGAATCATGACCATTGCTTGCTTGATGCTAAAGCTGATGCTGTTGAGACTAAGACTATAAGAAGTTATTTATCTTATTAATTGAATAATTGTAAAATATGAGCTATTTTCTTGTAATAAATAACTTACCTCATCATTTGCAGGTTTCGTTTGAAATTACTCAAATAAGTGATACTATTTAAAGTATAATTCAAGCTAGCTTTAATATGCTTTCATAAGTGATTTTTAGATTTAGGACTGCAAATTATTGTTCATTTCATTCACTAAAGAATATGAGATTATTTGAGCTTTGACAATAATTAGAAGAGTTTAGGAATTCATTATATTCAACCACTTACTCTTTCTCTCAATATTAGTTAATTTTCTACTTTCTCTCTTCAATTAACTTAGTAAATTGAATATTTCATTCAAAGAATAATCTTTCATTATTTCAGAGACATTTGTAGACTAAGAATGAATTGAGTTTTGTATTGAATCAGAATTCCTGATATTCTCCATAGATAGCACAATAATTGGATATCAATTTAAATAATTTTATTATTGAACAATATCATTACTCAAGCCATTCATATCGTAGTCGAGCGGGGTTTTGGGGTTTTGGGG